CGCTAGGGTATCCGCGCAGAATGCTCCTCAGAGATGCGCAATTTCAGATCGCTCTGATTGCAGATGTCTCTCTTCCCGACCGGCGACGAAAGCCGACTAGTGAGCCGCTCCACCGCCGCCGCCGCCATCGTCGACGCTACCGTGAATTATGCAGCGATGGGTCCCCGAATCCTCATCACCTGTCCCCTCCAACCAGCCATACGGCCGACCAACCCACTAAGCAAGCGAGCGAGCGAGCTGCCACCCCCTCCCCCGTGGAAAAGTGCGGGTTCCCTTCCTCTCGTCCTATTCTCCTTCCATCGCGGCCGGATGGCTGACTGGCTAAAGCTGCCCCCTTCCCACCCTCCGTCGAGGCCCTTCTGTCCGCCCTCCTCATAACCCCCTATTAAGCTTGCCTGCTTGCTTGCCAGCAAGCCAGCCCGTCGGCCGACCGACCGGCCTGGCACCATTCCCCGTTGTCGCTTCCCCTTGCTCGAGTTTTCCTCCATCGCGAAACCCCTCCTCCATACCGAGCCTCCAGCTTCTCGAAGCCAGCGATGCTCTCTCTTTCTCGCTCGTTCGCTCATTCGTTCGTTCGTTCGCCGGCTCGCCTGCTTTGATTCTCTCTCTCGCTAAAAACTTTAAATCGACCTCGTCATTAATTTGGCCCTTTCCGTTTTGCGGCCCTCCCTCTTTCCCTGCTGACTGCTGCCTCCCTTCTTTCCATACTTCCTTCCTGCCTGGCTGCTTGGCTGTCGGCCCGTCGGTCGGTCCTTCGGCCGGTCTGCTTGCCTTCCTTCTCAAGTAGCGGTTGTTCCTTTCGCTCCCTCTTTCACTGGAGCTCCCTCATATATGTATGGAAAATGTATGCTCCCTCTTTGCCTCTCGTTTCCCTCTCGCACTCCCTCTTCGCTCGCTCGCGCGCGCGCTCGTCCGCCCTCCGCCGCCTGCCTTCGTGTCTTCCTTCCTTCGGTCGGTCGCCGTTCCTCGCTCGCTGTGCGTTTGCCCTTTTGTTTCGTTCGCTGACTAGGTTGCGGGCGCTCGGCCCCAAGCTCGAGAAAGCTGGAGCAAGCCAAGCAACCCAACGACCACACATCCAACCACCCACCCACCCTACCGAGCCCTCGCAGGCCGTGGCTCACTCAGTCCCTTGAAAAAGACGCCGTCCCCCCTCCCTGGTAGTCACCCTTTTCCTTGGCTCCTCAGCTCCAAAACTGCGAAAGAAAACGGCTGACATTATCGGTGCCCCCCCCCACAAGATAAAGCTGGGAGCCATGGAATAGCTTGAACCAACAGCGTTATCCGCACGAAGCTGATTGTCGGTTTCGTTTTACGGCTCGCTCACCTGATCTCGAGCGAGGTCTCAACCCTCGTGCTTCACGGCACACAGACGAACCACCGGAGCTTCCCCTTCCGGAAGGGGAACGGATGGGAGTGCGGGAAACTCCCATGGTCTATTCAATGATTATGATATCTCTCGCTCACAACGGAGGGCGCATCGGTTCGAGGTCCGCAATGGAATCTCAGAGTTCGTTCGCTTTCGTAAGTAATTTGAAACCGCTCGTCAACGCGACGTCAACCCTCTCCGGCAGTGATACATCCTTCTTCTCCCGACCTCATTCAGGTTCGGATCTCTTTCGACAGAATACTTTGCGCCGCTCAGCTGACAATCATTGTTCCAAAGTGAAGGGTGCATATTTAGCCCGGCCGTCGCTCGTCCAGACGGACTAACGTATGGACGGACAGACGTACGGGCCGACAGCCAGAGACGCATGAACTGACGACCGGCAGACGCACTCGGTCGCTCATTCTTTCGCTCTCTCTTCTTCTCTCGGTAGCTGAATTAACAGGGATTATTCGGCCCCCATTTCTTGCCCCCTCCGCGCCCTCACAGTCCGTCGGCGCTCGGTCGGGGACTTGCTCGTGAGGAAGAGAGGGCTGGGTCGGATGAGTTGGAAGAGGGACCGGGGGACGAGTGAGAGGGCATACGCGCTTTGATTGGCTCTCCCTTGGTCTCGGTCTCGATGGTATTATCATACATGCGCGCACTACTCCTGCCACCGCCGCCGCCGCCGCTACCACCACTGCCGGTGCCGCCGCAGCGGCCGCTTCCTATTCTTGCTTCGTTCCATCTCGATCCTGCTCCGAGCTGGCTGCTGCTGTATGCGGGTTGAGATGAATCCATGGATGGAATCCAGATGAGCCCCGCTCCACGCTGTGCCTGCCCCACTTCGCCCTCCGCATACACTCACTCGCACGAACGAAGGAGTCGACGGAGGAGGGGCAAACGAATCAACGTTCAAGACAAGAGACAGCCACTGAGATGGTCAGTATTGTTCCGACCGAGGATACCTCGATCATACGCAACTTCTGTCTCGGATGCCGTCTCGATCATGGATCGCGGATAGAGTGTCCGGAAATTTTACCCCTCAATTCATTCGACTGCGGAACAGGACGTTCTCAGTCCGTCGTTTCCAAGGACAGTACCGTTCCGAATGGGTCGATTCGATGAATTTCGATAATGAGCCTCGATCGAGCAGAAATGTCCCGAGAGCTCAGGGGAGAACGAGATTGTTGGATCGGTATCGATCTTAGAGATATTGATATTGTTCCGGTTTACTGCCCGCTCGGCTCAACACAGATTCAGGAAGTCAAAACACGGGGCTCGACGAATCGACCGTTTACGAGTTTGCGCTGCCGATTTCCATATTTGAAAGCGAAGACAAAAGCTTTTTGGAAACGTTTTCCACTATTTACACTAAACGTGTATTTATACAATTCGTCGGCCTGGGCCAAGCCAGAGGCAATATAGCCGAGAAGACAAAATGGTTACATGCTCGATAGATTTCCGGAGACCCGTCGCTGTGGTGTTGTCTACCGACATTTCGAACGAAGAATAATTCCATCACTTCGAAATCCTGTATATAAGGGAACTTTCTATCAGCCATTCAGAATTTCCATTGATTGGTATCCATTGATTCATGATTCTGTAGAATCGACCTTTCTTCACGGGGGATTCTCATGGAGAATTCGGATACCCTCGACTAGAGATCCCTCGGGGTAGGGCTGGTTCCCCGCGATTTTCGGTGTTGGCAGTCAGTCCGAAGATCTCCAAGAGTCCGAAATAGCGCGCAAACGCTTCGAAGCTGCGTGAAATTGAGACTGACAGCTCAAACGCTTCGGAGTCATAATCGGAAGATCGAGAACACTTTTCCCTAGTATTGATGGAATAGGGTTCCAGTGCTCCATGAATATCTGAGCCCTTGAAAAGCGCCGGGCCTGTTTCTGTTCGCGGCATTTTTGCGATCGTCTAGTTAGCCGATGAGAGCAAAGAATCGCTGCTAGAGAACATCGGCGATAGTGCCCATTGCTCATCGGATGATCCGGCACTCCAAGAGCAGTCTGTTCGACACCGACAATAATTTCATCTGCTCCGGAATCTTCATTGAGAATTTCCGATCCGGACTCAATATTCCCAAGCCTCATATCGGTTTCTTGAATCGCAGCGTATCGGTTCCGACTTTTCGTTCTACGCGGTGCCCAATGGGTTATCGGATCCACCGCGTAAATCTCTCGGACCGCACGTATTCTCATTGTTGGCTGACAGCAGCGAAACCCGGCAGCGTTTTTGAAAGCTCCGTGGAAAAGGATCATTGCTCGGCCGACATCTCTGATATCCATATTCCGCTCCGTTTTCTCTCTCCGGGGCCCTGCTCCGATCCGGAATTTTCGGTCGTGTACCGACCGGCGCTATGACTCGTATCAGGAAGAGAGCTCACCAGGGACCTCGCGAGGACTCCGATGAGCGACAACTACCGCTTCACTTCTATTTCTAATCCGATTGGAATTTCCCACAAATATCTCGCTTCCTTTCGTTGTTTCATTTTCTTCCGTCGTGTCGGCTCGCTAACAGACGCAGTTCTCGGGTCCTCGGCAACAATGCTCCGTTCCGGACGGTACGCAGCGCATATCTGAGCCCACGGGCACTGGGGAAGATCACGAGGTTGTCAACATCGTTTGAGGAACAATCCGAGACCTCAGAACGAGATGAACAGAATAGAGAAAAAATGAATCGCGAAACAACGGCGAACCATGATCCTTCATCGCGGTCAACCGCTGTCGTCGTTGTCGCGGTGTCCGTCTCCTCATCATTGTTTCACGATTATTCGACGGGAATTGAGAGAAAAAAGAAGGAGACGACGATGAACGGCGAATGGGAAGAGGAACTCGAAGCCGAACTTTAATGTCACCAGAATGGGATCAGTTCACGAAACAATACCGGGGAGTGCTGAACTTCAAATGTGTGCCTGCAGCGTATCTTCCTTTTCATCGCCATGATCGTCGTCATGATCATGCGGCGACATCGCTGGGCTCGCTTGAATGAAGGAAATTCTCAACAATCCCAACTTGACGACAATTCCTCAAAAGCAATACGCTACTTTGGCTTTTAAATTTGAATTGTTGATATAGCGCCGTTCGCGGCGGTCGGTCGAGCAGCCGGTGAAATCACGATCGTCCGTCGGTCGCAACGTCTGCTGAATGTCCCCGGCTATCTCTCATGGAATGGATGGACTGACGGACTCACGTCGCGTCGGTCGCCCAGACGAACGGATAGGCAGATGAACGGATTGTTTAGCGTTGTCGTCCCGGAGCCACCCTGACCAACGTCCCTGCCGCTTGTTTTGGTTGGAAACAAGCACGGCGAAACAATAGATCAAAAAGCCGCAAAAGGAACAATGCTCAAAGAAACTTCGCGCATTGCTTCCCGCCAACGCCTCTTTGCTTTTACTCGAAAATTTCTCTTAGAAGAACCAGATCGATTCCCAAGTTCCGACACCGAATCGGAGTTACGCGCCTCGAGAGCCCATCGCCAGCCCTTTCAATTCTCCGATCGCAAAGTGCAGACAAGCGCTTTTCGATTTCCCCACGTTTCCCGGCTGTTCGTATCAGCTCGTGATGTCTTGCATTCTCACACGTGCATAGAGCATTCTAAGCATCTTCGATCGTATCCTAGCACTTACTGGTCTTGTATGACAGTTCGGAGATCGCCGTTCCATCATCAGAGAGATGTCCTGAGTTATTTTGGTTGAGTAGGCTCAGCTCTGGAAGGACGGAAGAAATCCGGGTCAGTTCCAATCGTTCAAATCATTGCGCTTTTCCAAGGCGAGAACCTCGGTCCTCTCGGTGACGATCATTCTGCCTTACTTTTCGTCAACGGTGAAAATCTATGGAGCGATGAAATCAAGGATCGAGTTTCCTCAACCATGGTGAAATGCGACTCTCATTCGATTTCACGAGGGGAAGCATTTGTCCAATTCATCAGACAGAGGAGTGAAGCATGAGCTCAAGCGGCGAAAAGCGCTGACATAATTTCCGACTAGCAGATATTCGATGAAATCGTCAAACTCGAACGCTTGATACGCTTACAATGCTCGAGCGCCGACTACAGTCTTATGGCTTCGATTCCTCCTCTACCTAAAGTTTTATTCGAGCCGTGCTAGCATAAACGGCTGTAACAGCGGCGCGGCGGTGGCGGCGAAAGTCACTTCCTCCCAGATGCCCCTCGAGGCAGCTTAGGCCTGTTCGGTGCTTTGTTCGTGAGAGAGTCTATTTTTTTCTCGCAAATAAATCCAAATTGAGACCTGGGGTTGTAAAAAATATTTCCGATTCGGAGCGGCGGCGACGAGCCGCCGGCCAGCCTGGGGCGAAGATGGGGCAACATCTCTCCTCTCTATCCATCGTGCCTCTCATATTTCTTCATTTTACAGAAAACACACAGCAACAGCCGCGCTCGCTCAAACCGAAAGAAATCCGCCACCTTTTGCGGCCTATTAGAGAGCTCGCACACCTTCGGAGAAAAACCACAGCAGCCCTAAAAAAAACTCAAAATGAAGCAAGAAAAAAACAAGCGTAAGCCACACACGGAAGGATAGGCAACCGCGCGAGTGACATCGAGCGAGAAAAGTTGCACTCTCTAAAAAAGTTCTACGCGACCCCCGCCGCGCGGCGAGTGTTCTGTCGAATCGCTATGAAATATGTCTCTCCTGCGACGGCCGAAGCGGCGGAATCAGTTTGTTTAGGTCGATTGTGGCTTCATTAAAAAAGCTCCAACTGCATCAAATACCAACCACACGAGACCACACCACAATCCGGCGACGTACATTTTTTTCTTGCTCGAGGGATGCCTCATCGTCGGGGATCTCTCTATGAATCCTCGGATGTCTCTTTTCTTTTCGAGAGAACGAGACTGGTCGAGACGTCGATTCTCGGTCGAAGGTTCCCCTCGGTGTTCGTTCTTACTCAACAAATGGAATGTCAGGTGTGCCGGAAAACGAAACCCGATTCAGGATTCGATGCTGATCGGGTGTGTTGTGGGAAACTGGACGAGGCGTCGCTGCTACGGGAACTTTTAGATCTCGCTCGTAGTCGGACGGTCACATCCAGAACGTGAAAACGTCTGATTCGTCGGAATATACCCTTCATTCGGCTCCTGGAGATGGCTGTCGATGCTCCTTCAGAAACACGAGCTTCGCATTTTCCCATCGCCAGACACGGCGAGAGCGGTGCGGGAGCTCGACAAATGAGATAAACTTTGCTTTGATCAGGTTCTTGAGTCGGTTGAGCGCTTCTTGAGAAAACGAACGAAGAATCCATTTTCAATCTTGGCGCTAAATGAGGCGTCTCCTTCAGATTTAATTGTCACCGCTCTGTCGCCCTTTGGTGCATTCGTTCCTCCGTTCATTGGTTGATTCCTTCTCTAATTAAAAATTTGCTTCTTGGCATCCGAGTTCCTCCGTCGGTCTTGGGGCGGGTTCGTTTCTCGATTCGCACTTCTCATAGAGCAGTGCACGCCGATCAGCCATCGGAACGGAGGACGAGCTGACTGATAACGTAGTGACTGACCACCGACAGAATGACTGCCCGGCAAAAGGCTGATCGTCGGTCTGCCTGCCCGACTGATTTGACTGAGTGTTTGACCGACTCCCTGACTAAATATAACGCGGCGCGAGCATCCGAGCGTGACTCTTCGAGCATATCGCTTGGTTCGGCCAATTGTGCATGATTCCAAGGATTTCTGAGTGCGTTTTTCCACTGGGGATTTTTCATCAAATCTCTGCTTGCGAGTTCAGACGATCGATGTAGTGTAGACGAGGCCAAGATTCGCGGATGGCGGCAATCTGTTGTGGCAGTTTCGGATCTGGCGACAAGCGACTTCGAGTGAAGAGGCGGCGGGCGAGCGAGCGACCAAACAAACCGAACAAAGTGATTGAACGCTGAGAGTTTCTTCCCCATAGTGTAGTCGTGTTCTGAGTCCTAATCGTCGACATTCATTTCAGTTGTTGCTTGCCTTCCTACCACCGTCTGTCCGTTTGTCGGCCAGTCTAGCGGTCCGTTCGTTCGTTCGTCCGTCCGCCCTTCCGACGGTATCCGAGTATCTGTCGCGCGCGGCCTGGATGCATGCTGGTAGTTGTCTTTCCTTCTTTCTTCCCCCTTCCTTCCTGAATCTTCGAATGCCAGCCAGCCTTTTGGCCAACCTGCTGCCGGACCGTCTGCAGTCTCACTAGCCATAAACCCAGTCGGACGGCCAGCCGTCTAGCAAGCAAGCAAGCGCGACGGACTACCGAGATTCTTGTACAAAACAAAGGCCACAACGCGTTCGCGGCCGAATTTCTATGAGCAAAGATTTATGGAGAGAAAAAGGAGAATAAGCACCTCGGACTGGACCCTCCGCTGAGCCCAATCAACGTTCGCACACTGCATTCGAGCGAAGCAAGCTTCAGGTCCGACCTGCCACTTGACAAACGAACTGATGGCAGACAAACCACGAACCATCATTTTCTCCTAAATGTCGCATCGGTATCCGCTCTTATTGCTTTCCAGCTCGGAATGGGGAATACGCTCTGAACGCCACCTCGGCGCTACGGGACCGGCAGGAAAAGGGTCACGATACCGATTATCGAGGAAAATTATCGAGCAGGCGAGCTCGCTGTCTCTCTCGGCTGTCACAATTTTGTATTCGGTCGCGCGTGCTCCACTGCTCGGTGGTCTCTCCCCCAGAGCTTCTCCTTCACCTTTGTCGTCGTTGTCGCCGTTGTCGTAGTCTACGTCGGTCGGTTGCTTGTCATATATCGATCACATAGAAGGACACCATTGTTCTCCGTCATATTTCCGAGCTCTCCTTTCTACTGTGGAACACTAAAAATAGAAAGCAGCAGCCGCCGCGGCTAGAATCATTCTTCTGCCACCACCGCGCGCGTGCTACCGCGGGTGGTGTTGGTGTCAGCAGCGGCGGTGGCGGCGGCGACGCTAGTCATGCTAGTGTTGGTAAGGTGACAACGTGTCAACCTCATCATAGCTAGAGCCCCTCCGCCGATGCCACGACAACAGGCGACTCGACAATAAGTTCGACGCACTCCGCGCGGTGTTTCTCAACGTTTGTCTCGAGACCATTTCCAAGCTGATATCAATCACATAGATGATATAGGATCGATGCAAGTTCATTTTCAGAAGCGATTCTCGTATGTCTTTCGCTGATAGAGGAACGGGGTCGCGTCTCAGGACCTTTGGTCGCACGGACGAGGCTTGACCCACTTCCAGTTCAACCCTCAGAGCTCAATCACTGAAGGTTGAAGAGTTTGAGTGGTTTTTTCGACTGTTTCACAAATGCCAGCCGAATGTAAAACAAAAGCAAATGTCAGAATCAGCGCTCATTGCAGAGAAGATTCGACACCGAGGGTGGCAGCAGAAAGTGCCCACCGGCCGGGTGGCCGGCAGGCCCGTCGGTCAGCCGCTCGGTCTCTTCTGGGTCCCGAGCCTGGTCCCGGCTCAGTCGACAGCGACGACGACAACAGCGCCGCGCTTGATGATGGGGCATTGTTTGAGGTGGAGGAGATGAAAGCTGTTCCTCTCGGTTGTCGTTGTCGTCGTCTCTTTTTGAAAGAACCATTGCGGCAGCTTCCAGTCTTCTCAAATATGTGCGCGACTGACACGACAGCATAGTTTCATCAACATAGCCGCGGCTGGTGTAGAAACCATTTGGAAGGCGTAGAGAGGTCTCTATCAAGCAACTCAACACAAACACTGTCTGGCCAGAAGTTTCCAACAGCACAAACGAGCGTCTAATGAAATTTGAAACATCTGAGAGGCAAAACTGTGAATGGGATTCAATCACCTCCGACTTCAGCGCTGGCATCACCTTCTTTCCGATACGTAGATTTCCGAGCGGCTCTTTTTCCCAAGGTTTCGAATCAGATTCCACCCTTCAAACGGCATGGGTGCTCACAGCCGGAAACCTAAGACTCGAGTAGACGAACGGCCGAGGGTAAACTAACCGGGAAGGACGAAAAATGTAGCTGGCGACGCAACCTCGAGAAAAGGGACAAAAGCATTGTCTTGAGTTTTGTCTCCTCCCTATCCATCCATCCATCCTTCCATTCAGTCATTCGGTCGGTCGTTCGTTCGTTCATTCATTCATCCATTCATTGGGCCGTTCGTTTGCGGCTGCTGATGATGTTGGCGCCGCTGCTGGTGCTCACTCTTTCTTTTCTAATCTTAATCAGATCATAGCAGTAAAAGAACAGAGACTTTCGTTTTATCTTCTCGCTCGGCATATTACCCGGGATTCCGACTCTTCGACTGCTGCTGCAACAGCAGCATCAGCACAAACTATCTCATACCACATAACCGACCCAGAACGATCCGTCTAGAGACCAACGGGCTTCTCCGGTGAGACATCACTACAGCGTCGGGGAGTCCGCGTCATGGAGGAGCATCAACTAGAGACGCCTTGGAGCGGGAGATTTGCCGCAAAAGTCAAGGCCTCCCCGCTCGAAATTGAGCGCCTTCCAGCGAGGAGATGAGCTTACACGAACTCCTGGCGATCTCCGGGACCGATCGGAAAGTGCCAGAGGTTGGCGGACCTCCCGCAAATTCGCTCGACATGCACGAAACGCAACGGAAAAAGACCTGTTGTTTACCCGAAGAATTCTGGCCTAGCTATTGGTGCTGCTGCTGCTGCCTGAGCCGCCGCCATCGCTGAAGCCGCTGGGCCACTCGACTCGAAACCATTGTTCAGCAAGGAACGAACAGCCTTTGAAACGGA